ATCAAAGGTGTCAAAATGATCCTGGTTTGTCAACCTCTTATGTAAAATGTCAATTTCTAAGAGGTGCTCATGGCCTGTGTATCTGCTCACTCCTTGGTAACATATTTAAGGTTAATACTCAGCAGTGGCCATTAAAATCAGCTTCTGCTTGAGGGGGGTTAGGTTTTGAAGACTTATTTTCAGCATTTCCCATAGTCAGTAGAATCCATACAGAATTGCAAGAATACAATGTCCCAGCAAATACTGGGTTTCACTGCCATGAGGGTGAGTGATGTGCGAAGCAACTTGGGAGCCAAGGCCCCTCTGCCCTGACACATTGAGGAATTCAGGACAAAACCTTCTGAAGAAAATGCTGCAGCAAACAAATACAACACAGCAGAAGGCAGATTTTATGGTGGGGATCTTTCTGTGTTTTCCCTTTGCAGCACAGGTGGGACCTCTAATGAGTAACCACACTCCCCATAGCAGTGTTTGGCTCACTCCATTGATTGTCTTGTAGCAAGAAAAGGAATTGGCTTGTGGCTCTCCTAGTACTTCAGAAGATTCACAATCCTGCAGGACTGTGGAGCAGGGGAAGGTGTCACAACATCAGCCTGAAGCACCAAGTTCCTCCAGCATGGGCTGCAGGGACCATGGGTGTCATGGCCCCACAAGGGGATCTGCAGGTGGGTGTGAGGGTGACCCAGAGAGCCACTGAGCCTTCATCACCCCTTGGCACACGCACTTCTGGAGCAGTGCTGTTTTCTGTCTGCATGGCATTGCCACTGGAGTGCAGCTCTGCAATCTCTGCTCAGCACTGGGGCTCCTTCCTGTTCCACAGCCCTGGGCAGCTGTGGGTGCAGCAGTGGGGCTGTGGCAGAGCACAGGCAGGGCTCTTGCCATCGATGGCTCCTGGGGAGGTGGCACAGGACCTAAATGGGTTTGTTGAGAGCAAGCCAAAGCTGGAATTAGAGTGTGGCTGCTGTGTCCATGGGGAGAGTGAGAGCAGCCCCAGACCAATTCAGTGTGCAGGCAAACAGCTGCCAGGAGGGCTTGGTGGAGCCAAGGGGTGATGGAGAGAGGGCTGCTCTAGGACTGGAAAACCCATCAAGTCCTCCTTGTTCTCTGGTACGTGAGGCTGCCTGGGAGTCTCATAATTTGCAGGTTTAAAACCTTGTGGACTTCAGGGAAGAAGGTGGAAACTGCTGTGGGCTAGGCAGGATCTCTTTGAGCTGTAAAAATCCCTGACTGCCTTGTGCCAGCTCGTGTGAGTGGCCATTTACTTCCCAGCTGGAGAGCTGCACAGTGAGGGAGGGGGAAGGAAATCCCACTCTGTGCTAGAATTGTTTTGGTGTAGAGTATCAGGGATATTTCTTCCTCTGTTGTTACAACTACCTTACGCCACGTGTCACTTTCTGCTGTTTTATTTTGCAATAAGAGCAAAATGTCACTTGCTTTTGCAACCTGTACGTGCCATGGGGCATAACGTGGGAAGAACATTGAATATCCCTGTTCCTTCTGCTATCCATGGGCTGTTCACAAAACCACATTAATATCCCTTCCCTCCAGACACCTGCCAGAGACATGAACTTCTCCTGCTTTGTAATTCCTGCCCAGGAGGTTTGGGGCACAGATGAGAAGCCATAGGAGGCCCCAGTCCGGTCCTCTCTGGCTTCTTCCCCTTCCCTGGGGCAGTTCCAAGCAGAGAAGCTCGGGATATTCCTGTTTCTCCTCTCTGGGTCACCCAGCTGGGCCTCTGACTGCTCACAGAGCTGAGTGCACAACCCAGCTGAGTACCCAGCACTGAATGCAGCCCCTCTGCATTCACCAGCCGAGCCACCTGCCCAAACATTGCCACTTCGTGCGAATTCCAGCCCAAGTTTCCCAAGCAAGGACGCAGCCAGGCTGCCTGGAATGGATGCTGAGAGCAGATCTCACACTGGGCCAGTGTGCAAGCAGCTGGAAATGCAAAGCACCACAAATCTGCCCTGTGCCAAATACGGGATGTGGCATGAGTCAAAGTGAGGGACACCAGGAAATAATAGACTTCACATGAAGGAGAGCAATAATTAGCAGCTGTAAATCACCTTTCATCTCCAGATCACAGAGGCGTCTCAAGCACTAATTAGCACAGCCTTGCAGCATCCCTGCCCCATAACTAGCACGGGGCAATGGTTATTCCTCTGCTGGCACGCAGCCACGTGTCCTTGCAGGCACCAGCAAGAGGGAACTGGCTTGCAAGGTTGGTCCTGTTCCACTTCTCACAGCCGGGCTGGAGGTTGCTGGGCACCTGTGCCAAGGCTCTGCTCTGTGCCCCAATCCAGTGCAGGTTTGGTGTCTGCTTCCACAGCAGGTAAGTGAAGATGGGCCAGGGGGAGCAGAACACGCTTGGGACCCAACCCATTTCTGCTTTGGGTTCTATCTGATATTTTCTGTGTGGAAATCCCTGCTTAACTCAAAGAAAACGAGTGAGCAAGGTAAGCTCCTCCAGGAGCAGAAGTCCCCCTTAACAGCATTTTAAGTAAGTATGGCAGGGAAGTTTACAATCTCCTAAAGTTTTCGTAAATACACGTGTGTATATATTTAAATACGAATATTTACAAAACATTTTCAAAAAAAACCTGGAGTTCTTTAACCTTGGTAGTTATCTCTGTAATGTTGGGAAGACACACCCAAAACACTTGTTAACTTGAGCACGAAGCAGAGAAGACAGGTTTGTAAGGATCTATATGTGGAGTTGTTCATATTTTTTGGGAAGTATACAGAAGCCTGGCCAGCCCCAGCCTCAATCTCCTGCTTCTCTGAGAGGAGTCATCTTTTGTGGGTAAAATGAAATATGCTTTTCTTGGAAGAATTTAAATGTGAGAAAGGACAGATTTCCTGGCATACTCAGGAAATTTCCCAGTTAGCTGTAGGTGAACCAGATCCATCTTCCTTCCCCCTGGGCTGGTTACCTACAGCACACCAGCAGCACCCCAGTGCCTGAAGGACACAGCATGAGTCTCTGGGTTGCAAAACTTGTCTATTTTGAGTTTGCAGTGAGCAAAATGAAGCAGAAGTTACTGGGCTTCATGTGGGAATTGAAATGTAAGACTGTGAAATATGGAAGAGGGGAATCAGACTGGTTAGTCTCTCTCTGCATTTGAAATGCCTATGAATATTGTTGAAATAGTGCGTGTGATCGTTTTGCATGGCTGAAAATAGCTCTGCAAGGTGCCGGGTGGCAGTGCAAGCCAGCCCTTGGCATCACACAGCTCCCAGCAGCGTTTCGTTGTCACACCAGGAGCTTTACCGTACAAAGAAAGCACAACTGGAGTCTGCTGCATTGTCCATGCTACAAGGAGGTAAATTAAAGGCTAGAGAGATTTTAATTTGCTCCAGGACATAAAGAACGTTGGGGCAGAAGTGAGACCTGTGAGCCCTAGCTGAGAGTCCCTTGCCCTGACTTCTGAAAGATGTGGGATCCATTTCCTTCGTTAAAAATAACCTTGTTTATAACCTCTCTTTCATGATTCAGCTTTTCTGCAGTCATCAACTGATCGCCATCAAAGCAGGGCAGCATCAGATTTCAGGAGGAAGATGCAGTAGGCTGTTGCAGCTCAGGCGTGCTCCTTGCAAAGGGCAGTTTGATGGAGGAAATGAGGGATGCCTTGTCAAAGGGCTGCCCTTTTTGGAGAGGAGCTCTGCTCTCTGAAATCGCTGTGCCAAATCTGCCTGGAGCTTCTGCTGTGTAAATCCCCACCCGTGGCTTCTGCCCTGCCAGAAACACCAGTGCCTCATCACCATGAACTGGCCCTGTGCAGGCCCAAAGCTACAGACAAACGTGGTTTTCCTGGTTCCTCTCCTCCTTCTTGCCTGTAGGTCAGAGCATCAGACATGCGCTGCTCTGCATGCGGCGACCTGCGGCCCTACCAGTGGCACAGCTACCAGTTCCACATTTAAAGCAAGACTCACTGCCAAGAAAAATCTCCTAGAAAGTCCCACACCCCCACTTTTTTATTCCTTGCACTATGGTGTGACGTGTCTCTCAGGCAGCACAGCTCCCCAGGCTTCTAATGACCATGTTGTGAGGGTTTGCTAACTGCTGCATTATGTTGCCTGCAAAAATCAGGCTACACAGCTGCAGTCCTCATCCTGTTCAGCAGACTGGGAAGCAGAGACACGGAATGGAAAGGACCATCCCTTTCCAAAACCTTCTGGTGGTTTTTGGCTAGCTGTGGATTAAGTTGCCATGCTCAGATGGGTCAGCGACTGCTGGCCCAAGTGGCGTGCCCATGGACACACAAATAATTAGTAGCAAACACCCAAGCAGAAGCCAAGCTCTTGAGACACAATGCTGTGGTGCAAATTTGTGCTCATCCTTATTTTTTTTAGGAGCTAATCCTTTGTCCTTGAAGGAAGAGGAATTTTCTGTAAATGCGGTATTTTTTTACACCTCATTGTGTGTTTAATGTTTAACAGTGGGATCATTATGGTTTTATTAGCAGCATGTAACGCTTTGTCATCTTCAACTGACTTTGCAAACATTAACTAATTGATCTCAACTATGAATCAGTGGTGGTAACTAGGAAGGGAGTTGAAGTGGTCTGCTGGTGCTTGCTCGGGAAGTGGTTGTCAGAACAAGGCACAGAAACCAGGGCTCACGTTTTGCTGCTCAGACCACGAACACGACAGCTTTATTAGTGTTATTTCCATTAGTGCTTCTGTCAGGGAGGGCTACTCTGTGTGCAATAAACAACCCTCAGCTGCTTCTCTCTGCCTCTGGTTGAGTTCATGCTTGACAAAATGTCACCAAACCCAAAAAAAAGCTGAATTAAGGAAAACACAACAAAAAAAGTGACTGACTTTGTTTTCCTCGGTGATCCAGTGGTTGCCAGTTGTTTTCCGCTCACCCTAACAAAATGCATAATTCAATTATCTATATTTGTGGGAATTAGATGCTAAAGTCAGAAAGGAGCAGGGCTGCTTGCAGCCAGAGCTCGAGAGGTTTTTAAGGGCCACATCGGCAGAGACTGGCTGGAAGCATCCTGAAGCCGGCTGCCAGGAAATTAGCTCCTCGTTTGCAGTATGCAGAACATGTACGGCGGCTTCATGATTTACTCGCTCATCTGCTTCACATTGCGCCTACTCTCCCTCGCGACTGTCCTGGCGTACGCAATCTTGTGTTGCAAAACAGGAGTGAAAATGAGCACTGCAGCGTGGAGGAGCCGCGCCGCTGCCCAGGTGAGCGTGGCCGAGCCCGGCAGGGACACGGCCCCTCGGGGGGATGGCGTGACAACAGCTTCGGCGATGGGAGGCTGTGGTGGTGGCTTTGAGGGCAAATGAGATGTGTTTGGGGGATGTGGTGACTGCCTGGGGACAGCGGGGATGTGGCCCCTCATTGAGGGGGTGCGGTGATGGATTTGGACATAAGGATGGGGAGGTGCTGGTGGCTTTGGGGACAGCAGGAACACAGAGGGAAGGTGTAGTAGTGGCCTTGGGAACAGCAGGGATATGGTGGGGACATGAAAGAGTGGCTTTAGGGACAGAGAGTACAGAGTAGGAAGGCATGATGGTGACTTTGGGTACAGTGGGGGCATATGATGGTGGCTTTGGGGACAGAGAAGGAAGAGCAGGATGGTGTAATGGTGGCTTTGGCAATAGGGGGGACACAGTGGGGGGTATGTGATGGTGACTTTGGGACAGCAGGGACACAATGGGGGGGATGATGGCTTTGTGAACAGTGGGGATGCAGCCCCTCAGCGGGTGGATGTGATGGTGTCTTTGGGGACAGTGAGAACACACAAGAAGGTGTGATGGTGGCTTTGGGGGCAGAGAGGACACAGCAGGGATATGTGACGGTGGTTTGGGGACAGTAGGGATTCAACCCCTCATCTGGGGGATATGACAGTGGCTTTGGGGACTGAGGGTAACAGTGGGAAGGTATCATGGTGGCTTTGTGGACAGTGGGACTGCAGCTCCTTAGAGGGTGGATGCGATGGTGGTTTTAGGGACAGTGGGGACCAACAATAAGGTGTGATGGCACTTTTGGAAACAGCAAAGACACAGTGGGGACACTGATGGTGACTTTGGGAACAGTGTGGATACAGTGGGAATGTATGATGGTGGCTTTGGGGACAGAGGGGACACAGCAGGAATACGTGATGGCGATGTGGGGATCGTAGGGATACAGACTCTCGGTGGGGGGGGAGGTGTCACAGTGGTTTTGGGGACAGTGGAGCCCCAGCAAGGAGGTGTGATGGTGGCTTCAGGGATACAGGGGACATGCCAGGGAGGTGCGATGGTGGCCTTGGGGATGGCGTGGACGCGCCAGGGAGCTGTGATGACAGCTGGGGGTGGAGGAGACACGGCAGGGAGGTATGGCGGTGCCTTGGGGACAGTGGCGGTGCAGCCGCTCAGCAGGTGGCGGCGGCTTTGGGGAC